GTGGTGTCAATAATTTATTAGAAAAAGCCTTATAATAATCAACTGGAAATCCATCTGGTCCAGGGGTCTTATTATTTTGTAAACACTTGAGGGCTTGAAGAACCTCCATCTCAGATATATCTGCATCAAGCAGTTCTTTGTCCTCATTATGTAATTTAGGAAGAGTTATTCCATCTATAAATCTTTTTGCAGCAGTACTGTCGACCCCTTGCTCAGATTTATACAGATCTTCATAGAACCGTTTAAACTCTGCATTTATGAGTGCTGATTCATCAAGAAGTTTATCATCTTCCGTTAATATTGTCCGTATAAATTTATCAGATGTTTCTTTCTTAATTTGCCAGGCCAGTAGTTACTTGTTTTGTTTCCATATTCGTAGTAGTGATATTTAGTTCCTGCCATGGCTGCTTCCGCTCTGCTGGTGCATAAATTATCATATTGCATCCTTGTTTTTGTTAATGTATTGAGGTATTCTTCCTTTTTGGTAGCAATATATTCCTGCTCCAAGTTTTTAATGTCAATCTCCAATTTAGTTATCTTCTCTCTAACTTTTTTAACCTTATTGGCACCGTATGACATAACCAAACCTCTCATATAGACGTTGAGAGCTTCCCAGATATTGGCATGTGAAGAGGAATTTGAATTGGCATCTAGGAATATTTCAATATTAGTGTTCATATATGAAATAGTCTCGTAGCATGTAACTTTTAAACCTCCACCTGTGGGTTACAGGTTTGTGACATGTTGGTAGCCCAGGAGAGTTTGATGGGATTATGGTCTGAAAAAGTAGCTGCTAAGTAGGAGCAATCTATCACTGTTGCCGTCATATGTTGTAGTACAAGAAACATCAATTCTAGAGCGTGTATTATGTACTGGTGAAAAAAGGAAGTCCCTCTGGCCTGGATGAAGGTTTCGCCACACATCAGTTATGCCTATATTAGAGCTGGGCGATATAAGATTTTTTCATATCACGATATGTTTTTTTCATTTCAGGCGATAACGATATCTATCACGATATCAGCCAAATAACTA